TTGTAATAAATATCATTTATTACAGCAATGATATTTTGTATTCTTTTTAATTTAGACACATTAAATATTACATATATGTATGTAATAAAATGTGTATTTCCATTACAGGTTTAGGTCTTAAATTTCATATAAGGTGGTATTAAAAAGGTCTTAAAAAGTCTTAAATATAACTTGTTCATGTTTGTAGAAACCCTGTATGTAATTTTTGAATGAATTATGAGGTTAATTGAACTTTTGATTAAGGTTTGTTTGAGCTAAAAAGTGTTGCCCCCTTCTGCTCTCTCATGCCAGGTGCCATTCAGGTGATGGTGGCATCTCGCTCTCTCTGCTGGGGTACCAATATTTCTGCCCACCTGGTGATTGTCATGGACACGCAGTACTACAATGGGAAAATCCATGCGTTAGTATTTTCTTATCCTTAGTGGGCTCAAATGATTAATGTCATCACCAGTATTTACTGTTTGCGTGTGTGTATTGCTCAATGTTAGATATGTGGACTACCCAATCTATGATGTGCTCCAGATGGTTGGAAAGGCTAACCGTCCTCTCCAGGATGACGAGGGTCGCTGTGTCATCATGTGTCAAGGGTCTAAAAAGGTCAAATTTACTCTAATCTACACATTTTCTTGACTTAATATCACAATTGTTGGTTCCCTCTTCATAACTTTGAACATCCTTGTTCTTTAGGACTTCTTTAAGAAGTTCCTCTACGAGCCTCTGCCTGTGGAGTCTCACCTGGACCACTGTCTTCACGACCATTTCAATGCTGAGATCGTCACCAAGACTGTGGAGAACAAGCAGGATGCTGTAGACTACATGACATGGACGTTCCTGTATCGCCGCATGACCCAAAACCCCAACTACTACAACCTGCAGGGTGAGGAACCACCATCCTTCAAATACCCACAATTTTCACTACAGCAGGACAAGTGGCTCGACATTCAAAATCTAGATTTTATGCTACAAAATGTACAATTTGTTGCAACAGGAATGCATGTGAAAATAGTCAAGCAACAGTGTAATTGTAGCATTTGTTTAATGCATCAGAGACTAAAATCTCTTCGTTTTGCAGGTATGTCTCATCGCCACCTGTCAGATCATCTGTCTGAGCTGGTGGAAAACACCTTGCAAGATCTGGAGCAGTCCAAGTGCATCAGCATCGAGGATGAAATGGATGTGGCACCTCTGAATCTGGGCATGATCGCAGCCTATTACTACATTAACTACACCACCATTGGTGAGGACTCTTTGTTTAACACACTTCATTGAAGTCAGGATGAAATAAGTAGTGACATATCTTTTCTCCTTTGTGACATGCATACGAGTGTAATGGATTATTGAAAAAGGATGTAAGGTGGACACTTAGTTCTATCCATCAGTAAATTTCCATTTCAAACTGACTTCAAACACAATCACTAAGCATCAACGTGCTTCTTGATTGTCCTGGCACATCTGTCTCATCTGATGCAACTGTTTTCTGTGCCCTCTCTCCAGAGCTGTTTAGTATGTCCCTGAATGCCAAGACGAAGGTCCGTGGCCTCATCGAAATCATCTCCAATGCTGCGGAGTATAAAAACATTCCCATCAGGCACCATGAAGACACCCTGCTGCGGCAGGTAAATCAAAACGCACTTTCCTTGTTTTGACTGAGTGTAATATGAACTCTTGAACAGACAGACTGCATCAGAGCTCTGTTTAACAACTCTGTCTTTTTCAGCTGGCTCAGAAAGTTCCTCACAAACTGAACAACCCCAAGTTCAACGACCCACATTTGAAGACCAACCTGCTGCTCCAGGCTCATCTGTCCCGCATGCAACTGAGCGCTGAGCTCCAGTCAGATACTGAGGAGATCCTCAGCAAGGTGAGGGGAAACACTTTAAGTACATAGTGAACCTCTTTTGCAGCTCAACAAAAAGAATTTGTGGCCCCAGTGCATACAAATTTTAATTCATAATTAAAGGCGTAATTTTTTTTGTATGTACAGTGGTGGCCAAAATTGTTAGAACACTGACAGATCTGAAGATATTGACACTTTTTGCCTTCAAAACATGATTTCATTTCATAATGTTCATGAAACATGCAGATGGTTGCTCTGAGCACAACAAATATCAGATTAAGTGGGTCGTACTGTTTTTATCCACTTTTAAAGGTGACATATTATGCCACTTTTTACAATATGTAATATAAGTCTCTGGTGTCCCCAGAATGTGTCTGTGAAGTTTCAGCTCAAAATACTCCACAGATCATTTATTATATAATTTTGAAAATGCCTATTTTGAGTGGAAGCAGAAACGAGCTGTTTTTCAGGCCTGTGCTCTAAATAGTGTTCTGTGCTCGTCTGTGCAGCCAAAGACAGAACAGTTAGCATGTTTTGCTCAAACTTTCGCCATGGCATTAGAACTGGTACACCATTGTCGTTTGCGAAAACACAATAACGGCACCGTGGGTGTAAACTTTTACAGATTAAGGGGCAGTAATATTATAATGAGATCCCTTTGCCACGTCACCAAGGGAGCAAAATCAGACGCGCTTGTTTTCTTTAGACGCTTGCAGAAAAAGGCTTCCCAAAACAAAGTTACTGGGTTAATCTTTTTCATGTTTGCTTGGTTGGTAGATGCACCAGGGACCTGATTATAGCACTTAAAACCTGGAAAAGTCAGATTTTCATGATATGTCACCTTTAACTTTAATATTTGGTATGTCCAGCTTTTGCAGCAATTACAGAAGCACATCTCTCTGGCATAGTGTCAATATATTTCCTGAGAACTTCAACACTAATGTTATCCCATGCCTTCTGCAACTCAAGCCTAAGGCTTTCCTATGAATGTACAATAGATCTGTCCAGTTTAATTTCCAACTTGCCTCAAATTTGCTCGATGGGGTTGAGCGCTTTATTTTGAGGGGGTCAGTCCATCATTTTTAATGTTCCAGCAGATTCCTTCCATCGCAGGTCGTTCCAGCAATAGTTCATTTTATGAGTATTGTAATGGCCAATTCAACAAAAACAACTGAAACCTCTTAAAGTGTTCTAACAATTTTGGCCACCACTGTATTTGTTTTTGAATGTATAGATTTTAGTTTTTAGTTAATATATTTACATTTATTTCATATACCACCTGTCAAATGTTAGTTTATATGTTATTGAAAGCATAACATATTGAGGTCAAGAGACTCTTTAAAAACAAAACATTTAAAAAAACTGCTTACACTTTTGACGTGTAAATGAAAAGGTTTCATCAAATGACTACATAACAGCTTTTGGCTTAATCTTTCTTTCATTTTCTTTAATTGGAGGATTAAATTAAATTTTCTTCTCTTCTTTTGCCCGTGTTTTCAGGCAGTGCGGCTGATCCAGGCGTGTGTAGATGTGCTCTCCAGTAACGGCTGGTTGAGTCCGGCGCTGGCTGCTATGGAGCTGGCTCAGATGGTCACACAAGCCATGTGGTCCAAAGACTCGTACCTCAAACAGCTACCCCACTTCACTTCTGAACACATCAAGCGCTGCACGGACAAGGTGAGCACTGGGTCTGAATGGGTTGAGGATCATCTAAACACTGTACATCATCTTTTGGCTGTCTGTCTTATCTCTGTTGTGTTGACGTGTATAGGGTGTGGAGAGCATCTTCGACATCATGGAGATGGAAGACGAGGACCGCACTGGTCTTCTGCAGCTTACAGATGTCCATATGGCAGATGTGGCACGATTCTGTAACCGCTATCCCAACATTGAGCTGTCGTATGAAGTGGCTGACAAAGACTGCATCAAAAGGTACGAACTGAACTCAGAATGCAGAAGGCTTCAGTTGAAAATGTGTAACCTTGTGGGGGTGCACAGTTATCATTTATGCCATTAATCACTTTGCTGAAGGTATTAATTGATCTTCTTGTGCTCACAGTGGAAATCCAGTGCTCATTCAAGTGCAGTTGGAGCGAGAAGAGGAAGTTACAGGTCCAGTCATTGCCCCTCTGTTCCCTCAGGTGAGTTTCTATTTCTATTTCTAACAACGTTAAAATGGTTTGGGTCAGTAAGATTTGCAAAAAAAAAATTTGTAAATAAATTTATTTGATCTAAAATACCGTAAAAAAAACTACTCCAACTTAAAATAAATATTTTCTGTTTAAATATATTTTAAAATGTTAATGAATTTTCAGCAGCTATTACTCCAGTTTTCAGTGTCACATGATCCTTCAGAAATCATTCCAATATGCTGATTTGCCGCTCAAGACACACTTATTAATGTACAACAGTTGTGCTGCTTAATATTGTTGTGGAAACTGTTTCATTTTTTTTCAGGATTCTTTGATGAACAGAGTTCAAAAGAACAGCATTTATTTAAAATAGAAGTATAAAAAAATTATCTAAGTCTTTATTATGACTCAATTTAATCAGTCTTTGCTAAATAAAAGTGAATTTCTTTAAAAAAAATAAAATAAAAAAAACTTGACCCCAATCTTACAATATCAACTGATGAGATGAGTTTATTTGATAGAAATGCAGCGTTACTTCATGACATTTTGTTTGTTTTGTGCAGAAACGTGAAGAAGGCTGGTGGGTTGTTATTGGAGACCCCAAATCGAACAGTCTCATCTCAATCAAGAGACTAACTCTTCAACAGAAGGCCAAGGTCAGTCCTGCTTTAATGCAGTATTCCTGTGTATTCTTGTGAGAACTGTTAATGACTTGGGCTGTTTTCATCCCTCAGGTGAAACTTGACTTTGTGGCACCTGTTGTTGGTGTGCACAACTACACACTGTACTTCATGAGCGATTCCTACATGGGCTGCGACCAGGAATACAAGTTCAGCATGGATGTTAAAGAAGCAGACAGTGAGGGAGAAAGTGACAGTGATTAATTCCAGATTAGTCATAAAGAACGGTTGTACTGTCATGTGAAAGCAGTTTTAAATGTTTTTATATATATTTTTGAGGAATATTGTGACTGTTTAATTCATTGTGATTTAAATAAAGAAACATGTACATTGGAGATTTTGTTTTGCACTTTTTTTTATTAAAAGATCATCAGAAGAAATCACTGAGGTCTTTTAAAGTCTTAGAATAACTGCATTAAATAAAGAACTGGCTCATTCGTGGTTTAGATGTGGGGATTTAGTGAGCTTGTTAAAGCGGAGTCTCCAAACACATTGGTGTATGAAGCCTTAAGGTAGTGGACGTAGTTCTGCAGGCTGCGGTTGGCGCTGTTCACTTGCTCCAACTGGTTCTTCATGTCCTGAAGTTTGCACTGAAATCGCTTCTCCATCTGAAAAATGAAACCAAACTGCTTCTAAAAGGTCCTAATGCAAGCTCATATATGATTATTTGACATGTAAGGAAAATGGCAGATTACAACAAGCGAAGCATCAGCAGATTCCCACAAATCACTGACCAATCTAAAGTATCCAGATAGACATTTGTTACCCATTCTCAATGGGAAAGTGCCCAAGCAACATTGATCAAAAAATGTTGCCCCAGGTATCATCTGGCTTGAATTTCCATCTTTATATCAAATGCCACTAGTACTAGTATATCAAAAAGTTTTTGTAATTATTCTCATCGGTGACATTTCTCTCAGTAATAAAGCAATGTTATCACATTGGCGTTTGCTTGTTTCAGTCTACAAAGATTGATATCTAGCTGCTTAAATATTTTAGAGAATTTTTTTTTAACTGCCCATGATTTTCCAAAATTTCCAGAGGGTAATACAATAAAAAAAAAAAAAAGTAATCGTCTAGAAGCAACTCTAAAAACTTGCCTCATAGACTTATTTTATGAATATGTTTCTACAGAGCCTCTAAAGGAACATGGTGAAGGAAAAAAAAGATGAGAGGGAAAATATATTTCAATGCTTTTGTATTCTCTTACAGAAGTATTGCATTCCCCCGACTCTCAAAAGCACTGACATGATTTTTCCTCCTCCCACTTAATTTTGTGTCCATCACCAGCTTTGCGTTCACTCACAAAGTTTCTCAGGGGAACACAAACTCTTGCTAGAGAATGGAAAAATGTTCTGTGTGAATGCAAAGTTTATAAGGGCAAATGCAAAAAGCATTGAAATGATAAATGACAATTTTTTTTCTCCATCGCCATGTCCCTTTAGGCACACCATACGTTTTGGTCATGTTGGATTTTTTTAACCAAACTGAACCACAGCTCAAAATGATTTACTCTTACTATTCACAGAGAATTTTACAGTATAATCATTGATGATTTTTGTTTAGAGAATTTTTTTTTAACGCCCCATGATTTTCCAAAATTTCCAAAGGGAAAAAAAAAAAAAAAAAAAAAAAAAAGTAATCGTCTAGAAGCAACTTATTTTTATGAATATGTTTCTACAGAGCCTCTAAAGGAACATGGTGAAGGAAAAAAAAGATGAGAGGGAAAATATATTTCAATGCTTTTGTATTCTCTTACAGAAGTATTGCATTCCCCCGATTCTCAAAAGCACTGACATGATTTTTCCTCCTCCCACTTAATTTTGTGTCCATCACCAGCTTTGCGTTCACTCACAAAGTTTCTCAGGGGAACACAAACTCTTGCTAGAGAATGGAAAAATGTTCTGTGTGAATGCAAAGTTTATAAGGGCAAATGCAAAAAGCATTGAAATGATAAATGACCATTTTTTTTCTCCATCGCCATGTCCCTTTAGGCACACCATACGTTTTGGTCATGTTGGATTTTTTTAACCAAACTGAACCACAGCTCAAAATGATTTACTCTTACTATTCACAGAGAATTTTACAGTATAATCATTGATGATTTTTGTTTTCGCGGAGCTTGTCAAGTATTGTGGAATGGAAAGTTTCAGAGCTCATAGTCTGCCATCGAACACTTACATCCTCTTTGCTGCGGCGCAGCTGACCCAGCTCATTTTTAGCCAGGCTCAGCTGACTCTCCAAATCCAGCATTTTAGACTGAGCTGAGCATTCTTTGGACAGCACCCGCTCCAGGCTCTGGCCCACCTGTGAACAAAGACTCATGTATACACAAACCTCACACAGGTGCAACATCTGCAGCATCAAAAAGAATTTGCTGTGGATTGTGACCTGTCTCTGCGCCTCCTCCCTGGCCTGCTCCAGCTGTCTGTAGAGGGAGTCACACTCCCGGCTCCTCTCCTCCAGACGCAGCTGCGTGTTGTGGATGGTCTCTTCACGCTTAGCGACAACCTGAAGCAGATCCCTGTTCTGAGTGCTCACATCCTCCATCTTCCTGTGTGAACCAAGAAGAGAGAATGATACAGAAATGCGACTAAATACAGTCGAACCAAACTTTATTCAGACACCTTCAACATTTCTCACATTATCATAGTGTATTCGCTATAGTTTCGAAAATGGTAATAAAATATGACAAGAACGGTATCAGAACAAATTCATTTTGATAATGTCAGATTACTTTGATGGAAAGGTATGTAATGGATTACAATCAACCAAAAATGATTCAGTTGTTAAATTTAAGCACACAATGAGATAATAGCAATTTAGGTCAACCAATTACCAAGCAATGCTTAATTGTGTTCAGTCTGTGGTGTAAAAAGTTCGCATTAGCAATGAAAGAAAAAACACTTAAGAAAACATCGTCAGGTCAAAGTGTCTGAATAATTTTTGGTCCCAACTTTTTATCAATTTTACTGGTAGTCCACTATATGAAACATTTTTGAGTATAATATGTCACAGTTTACTTTATTTTGCTATCCTCACTTACATAAATTAAATATAGTGTCCTACACCCACTAGTAAAAAAAAATATTAAAAATTATTTCTGGTGTCTGAATAATTTTTGGTTTGACTGTATTTAACTTCAGCTCTTTGTGTCAATTGGGTGTTTATGTTAAAGACCCAATTAAATGTTATTAATTTATTAATATTTTCTGTGGACATTTCCTGTTTAGAAGGAAAGTTATACATCAAATTTAAATAAATATTACATAAATAAATACAATTAAAATGTAATGCTTTCTAGCCAGTGACAGGAGAGCAGAAAATAATCTAATAATGATAACAATATCAATATATGTTGGTTTATTTATTAGAGGAGATGAAAATTTAAATAGAAATTATCATTTTGATTCCTTTTCAAATATATAATATATATTACAGGAAGAGTTCATTTGTTTCATAATTTATTTTGTAATATATATTTAATAGAAGAGAATGGAACTAAAATATGAATAATTCATCATTTGATTTCATAATGTCTTTTAAATATTACATTATAATACATTATATTATATAAGGAGATAACGCCATCAATATATTTTGGTTTATTTTATAAAAGAAGGAAATTTAAATGGAAATTTTTCATAATTTAGATCTCACGAGGTCTTTTAAATATTATATTATATTTATTATATTATTACAGCAGATGTGCCGGAGACCTTTCAGTGCCTTCCATGGAGCGTTTCAACTGCATGTTCTCTTCAAGTAGAAATAAGTTCTTCTCCTGGAGATTCTCTATTTTACAACTGTGCTGCTCCATCTACACACAAACAAGAAAATACATCATGAAATGAAAAGCCCTTCTGATTCCACTGTAATATTAGTGGTGTAAACATGAATAAACCCGCATGATTACCTTGACTCTGAGCTCAGACAGAGTGCTGTTCTGCTCTGTGTTTCTCCTGTCCTGGATGTGCATGTTCTCTCTGGCCTCCCTGAGCTCGTTCTCCAAGCGCTTCAGAGCTTCACGCAGCATCTCCATTTCCTTCAGCCGAGCATGGAGCTGCTTGCGGCTCTGTTCCACCTCTCTTTCCATCTCCTCGCGGTCACTCTGTGCTTCCTTCTCCACCATCTCCAGCCTCAAAGTGTACTCCTCTGACTCCAAGCGTGTCTTTTGCAACTGCAAGAATTACGAAGGGTTAGTGTACTACGACTCAGTGAAGATGGACTGTAATGAGCTATGTTAAAAGCACCTGACTCTTGTAACCCTCTACCAGACTCTCGAAGTCTCTGAGAGAAATCTTCAGCTGCTGCACCTCTGTCTGAGACAAAGACAGTCTGTCCTCTGTGGCTGACAGAGTGCTCTAAAAGAGGAGACATGCAAGGTAATGCACAAAAATCTAAATCAGAGCTTAAATGGTTTTGGATGAATAAGAAAAGTCTAGATCTAGACAAGATTTTATTAGATTTCTTGCCTTGAGTCTCTGGTTTTCCAGTTTGGTGGCTGTGTTCTCTGAGGTGAGGAAGTGCAGACGGCTGAGAAGCCCCTCTCTCTCTGCGCAGGACTTCTCCTTACAACTGCACAGCTGTTCACTCAACTCAATGAGGCGACTGCAAAGAGAAACGTCTACAATCACCATCCACTATGAGCTCCACTAAATATGACAATTGGGTAAATATCAGGAAACCCCTCAATATTTTATACTGAGTTTATATTTCATAAACAACAAATTATATTCTGAATAAAGAACCATTTTATTCCCCTTAATTCTTACTACCATATTCCAAACAAATACAGTATAGATAGATAGATAGATAGACGATAGATAGATAGACGATAGATAGATAGATAGATAGATAGATAGATAGATAGATGATAGATAGATAGCTAGACGATAGATAGATAGATAGATAGATAGATAGATAGATAGACGATAGATAGACAGATAGATTGATAGATAGATAGATAGATAGATAGACGATAGATAGATAGACAGATAGATAGATAGATAGACGATAGATAGATAGATAGACGATATATAAATAGGCAGATAGATAGATAGATGATAGATAGATAGACGATAGATAGATAGATAGATAGATAGCATATTCTCAATCACTGTAATGTGAAAAAAATATTAAATTATATTTATACACTACCATTCAAAAGTAAAAAAGGAAATGCCACAAAATTCCCATAAAAATACTGAGCAGCACTGTTTAACATTGATAATAAAAAATGTTTCTTAAGCACAAAATCAACATAGAATGATTTCTGAAGGATCATGTGACACAGAAAACTGGAGTAATGATGCTGAAATCTTAAAGATCATTGTTTGCTTGTATTTTAATGTAATATGGAAAAACGTAATTTATTATGCCAATAAGAACATGAATGAAGTAAAGATAAAGATAATAAGGATAATGTAGAGTAAGTAAAATGCTCATGGTGGTAATGAGAAATGGGTAGGAAAAATATGTTTGCTACAAAACAATGCACATCTTCAAAAATGCAGAAATTTTTTACAAAGGAATTTATCGACAATTAAGTTGAAAGAGAATTTCAAAAACTCAAATCTCACTGATGTATAAGCCCAAGCATCATACACTACTCAGAACATAATCCATAATTTACACTAAAAATAATACATTATAGACGTGAAGACTAGGCTGAGCTTCAGTGGACACTTAGAACAAGTGAAGATAGTCACTGACTTATTTAAGGTGGTGATCTCCAACTCCAGCTGGCTTTTCTCTCTGTTCTGTTTGGAGTAGCGCTGCCGAAGCTCCTCAGCAGTGGAGAGAGCCTCTGCTAACTGAGCCTCCTGAGGAGATGACACAAACACATCAGAGTTTGCACTGCATGGCTCATACTGGCCAACTGCATAAAAATCAGGCTTTCAAGTCAAATGAATACATAAGCCAGCAGTGCCATATTAAAAAAAGGACATTTTGAAAATGATTTAATCAATTAGCACTTTGTAAACCATGAAAGACTACAAAATATTTATATGAAACCCTGTAGTACAGTTCATGTATTGTTCTTCTGTCCGGTACCTTGTCCAGGAGTTCTGCAGAGAGCTGTGCAGCTGTATTCACACTTTGTTCAGCTTGTTTCCTCTGGTCCTCCAAGACCCGTTTGTGGACGTCTCTGTCTCCTTCACAATGCTGCTTCAGCTCTCTCATCTGCTCCAGCAGGCCTTGCACCTCCTCCTGCTGACGCTGCAGTGTCTCTTCCAGCCTCTGTGCCACAGTACAGTACAGACTTACATGATGTGCCATTTTATGTCAATGAAAACCATGACTAAGGTAAAAGCAGGCTTACTTGAATCTGAGCCTCCAGCCGGTTATTCTCAGCTTCTTTCTTGTACAGCTGATTCTGCAAGCGACTGCGGGTGGATTCAAGAACCCTTGGCAGCTCTCCTGCAGTCCTCAGATGATCCTGTGATGACAATCACAAAACACATTCTTAAAAACACTTCCTACAACACTGGAGCTAATCTGATGCATATTCACTACATGCAAGCATGTAGAAATGCAGAAGAGGTAATAAAACATTCCGTAGAAGAATCTTATGCAAATTAATAAAAAATAAGGGAATTAGTGAGATATCATTATTACCTTTTCATTTTCCAAATTCTCAGCCATCTCATTGGCCTCTCTGTCCCTGTGGTTGAGTTTAGTCTGAAGTTTCTAAAAGAGAAAGTAAAACATTATAACCACTTCAAATAAATGTTTTTTTTTTATGTATTCTAAAACGTTTTTTCCTGTGATGGCAAAGCTGAATCTTCAGCAGCCATTACTTTAGTTTTCAGTGTCACATGATCCTTCAGAAATTATTCTAATATGCTGATTTGGTCCCTGAGAAACATTTTTAATTATTATCAATGTTGAAAACAGTTGTGCTGCTTAATGTTTTTCTAGAAACCCTGAAACACATTTTTTTAGGATTCTTTGATGAATAAAACGTTTTAAAAATTTCAGCATTTATTTTTACAAACAGAGATTTTGTTTTGTAAAACAAGTCTTCACTTTCACTTTAGATACATTTAACGCATACTTTTTGAATCAAATGTATGTGTATCAAGCTAACAACATTGTTATATATACATAAATATATATATAGAGAGAGAGCAAGAAATGTTGGAGTTAGATTACAAACCCTTTTCTCAGCCTCAGATTCAGCAAGTTTTCTCATTAGCATCTCCTTCTCATCAGACAACCTCAGTGCATCTGTCTGTGGTGAAAAGGACAGACAAAACAGAACTGTTTTGTTTAAAAAAAAGTGCATATACACAATACTGCAGAACCAACAGCCAACCTAAATATGAGACAAATTTAGTTAGGACGTTTTTGTACCTCTCGTCCATGCTGTTCCCTCAAAAGCCGTCTGAGAGTGCGGTTTGTCTCCACAAACGTGTCCAACTTTTGCTCTAGTAGCTCATGTTGACGACCCAACTGATCAGAGTGCATCTTTGACTGTTTTTGTCATGAATGCACAAAGTGATTTTTTTTATTATTATTCAAGAGAAGCGATTCCAAAGGTAACTGAAAAGTTTGGAGTTTTGCCAACCTTCTTAAGTTTGCCCACGGTTTCCCTCAGTGCTGTCACTTGTTTGGCTACAGCCTGGCCGTCTATCTCAGCTTCCACCAGTTTCCTCTGCAAAGTTTCTATCTCCTGGTGTGGAGGTCCTGTTTCTGATCTATCCACATAATTCACACATTTTAAGCATTTGGTCACTACAACCCTAAAAAGAAGCTAATGTGTCAGAAAGAACTATACCGCATATGTCCAGACTCAGCCTGCGTCCCATCTACAGTGCTTCGCAGATCAGCATTCTCGCGCTTTGTCCTCCTCAAGTCCTTGCTGGCTTCTTCAAGTCTTTCCTCATGCTGATCAATCAAACGCCGACAGGCGCTCAACTGCTGTGACTGGTGCTTTAAGTGGTCCTCTGCCTGCCGTAACTTTACCTGTGAAGATTTAGACATTCAAATCCACAATGTTGCACGATGAATTGTGAGTCCATCTTATAGTCATGATTACCCATACCTCACTTTTTATACAGTCAACCTCTGACATTAGACTTTCAATTTTTCTCTCATATTTGTCGATTACTCCTCTCGCATCGTCCTCTTCACTGGACAGGTCAGTGAGCTGCAGAGGAGGCGAAGAAGGGTCAGTGGCCCGTCCCGGGGTGATCTCTAAGCAGCGAGTAGGCCCCTGATGGAAATTTTTATTAAAGTACAGTCATTCAGAGTCACAATTAAAAAAAAAAAATGACTCATTATAGATGATTGATATGTGCTGGCAAATGAGGTAGAATAGGACTTAACAAACCTCCCATTTGTATTCTCTTCGTCTTGAAGCCTTTCCAGGAGGAACCCAGGGGGCTCGGACCTTTACACTGGCAGTGGATCGTAAATTGCTCACTTTCCCCTGCTGAACAAAAAAAGAGTTGTGATGATGAGAGATTTCACTGTCTCCGTAAATCAAACGAGACCGTTTTAAACTGGAACGGTAAACAGCATCTATTCTGACCTGGCTTTTCTGTGGACTCTTCTTCAGGTGGACATGCACAGATGTTGAGTCTGGGACATGAACATGGACGGGTGGAGAAGGCGACCGTGTTTTCATCCCTTTAATTCAGTAGGGCGATCTTTATTTGTCTTAAGAATATGAAAAGTGTATCATAAAATTGGAAGAAAAATAAAACAGAAGTGTTATTAATCATACTTGCGTATCTTTTAAACAAAAAAGACTATTAGTTCTCAGCCAAGTCTATGTTTTGCTACTAATCTTTTCTCAGTTTATACACTGCATATTTATACGAGCAGTTAAAGAATCCTTATCGATTAAAACTTGTGTACTTTAAACGATTAATGTAATATGAATAAAAATACCACTAACCTTAATACAAGTATGCAACGTTGCGTTCCCCGTGTGGTGTTGTTTGCAGTACCCGGTAGACTTTCGCATGGACAATAGCCGCCAATCGGAGACGCGTCTGACGCTCTAAATCCCGCCTTCTACATTCTGTTTTGCTTCTGATTGGCTGGTTCGAAACTTCAGCGACAAAGATTTGAGAAGTGTGTTTAACGCCCAATGAACTGAAGCTGATTAGGTTTCTATGCCAACGACGCGTTGCTATGTGCCTCCTATTATAACCTTTGTCCGTGAAATTTTCTCATACATAAATTGCCATTTTATTCACAATCAGTTGTGGTGACATTAGAATGAATTACACACTAGAGTCTTATCTAACATGCGTTCGCTTAATTATTTCGAGAAAAAACATGACTAACCAGCTGACAACCATCTGCTTGAGGTTTTATTTACTGAGGTTTTACTTTATTTAATTGACAAAAATGTATCACTTTTGTCGAATCAAAATATGATGCATAGGCAAAAGTTCTTGGTTAACTGGACACTCCAAATGTCCAAAGCAACTTTCACATTTAAACCATTACTCAGTAAGATCACAGTTTTAAGTTAAACCCCTTGAAATCCCAAGGTTGAAACGCATTAATATGAACATTCAGTAAACCACAGATCTTAAAGTCACTGCAACCTAAGACTGGACACTTATGAACCAGAGAACAGTAATGCAAACTGAGGTAGACAGAAGCATAGATCTACAGTGATGTATCAGGGCTGAGCTCATCTGCTTAGGTAACCTAAATACCTAACAACCCTAAAAGTGATGAGAGTGGCAGCACTTCAGTATGACAAAAGGAACAAAACAGATATTCAAAAGAACAAGAAACAGTAACTTGTGGAAAGAAATTAACTGTCATTTGCTGAAAAATGGACTAAATTACCAGATTATAAATTAGTCAGTAACCTGTTTTCAAGCTACAAACTAGTTCACAGATGGAAAAAATTGGATGATTTCAAAACAATCCTCTAAAACCCATTCACAATGTCTATAAAATATATGAGGTTGTTTACTTTAAACAGCATTTGCTTAAGGTTGCACTTTGCTGCAAAGTAAAAGAAAACACTATGAGAGAAATAAAGAAATCCAGTTTAGTTGCATAAATTATAGGGGGAACAGCATTTTATGTTTTTTTTTTATCTCTTCAAATTAAATTCTTAGCTCCGTGATTACAGTCCGAGCAAAGGAAGAATGGAAGCCAGATAAATAACTGGACAAAAATTAGTCTTAAGATTTGCAAAACCAGTAGACTACCATTAGATGGCATCAAGCCTGTTTTTTAAAGTTGTGCTGTGGTATCAGGGGCTTCAAGTTTGTGCGGCGATGACAGAAGCTTTGATTTTATGACTCTCGTTGTGTGGCCTTCTGCATACGTTGATACCAGTTCTTCACCTTGGTATGTTCCATCATATCATCAAATGCCTGAAGGCCCTCCATAACCCTCAGAACACCGAACACGGCCTGTGTTGAAAACACACGGTATAAGAATGTATTTCCCACCATACCACAGACAATGAAGAATCAGAAATAATCCAATTCATATCCCTTAAGCAATTGTGACACTGAGAAAAATAAACACTACCATTCAAAAGTATTGGGTCCAAAAAAAAAAAGAAATTAATACTTTTATTTAGCAAGTGTGCATTAAATTGACCAAAAGTGACAGTAAAGACTTTTATAATATTACAAGACATTTCTATTACAAACAAATGCTGTTCTTTAAACTTTTATTTATTTATGGTCATAAAAATATTAGGCAGTACAACTTTTTCAACATTGGCTACTGAATAAATGGCTGCTGAAAATTCAGCTTTGTTATCAAAGGTATAAATTACATTTTAAAATATATTAAAATAAAAAACTATTTACATTGTAATAATAGTTAACAATATTACTGTTTTTACTGTATTTTAGATCAAATAAATTAAGCCTTTGTGACCAAAAGAGACTTCTTTCAACATAAAAAAAAAATCTTACAGACCCAAACTTTACAACGGAAGTGTTTTTATGTATAATTTTAGACTTCGAGAAAAACACATACTAGATCTGCAAGGTTGGGTTGATCGCCTCCCATAAATTTCTTGTTTTTTCCAATGGCTGACACCCAATCATTGACGGCCTTGTAGAGATCCTGTCTCACGTCATCTTGCAGATGGTGTCTGTGTAGTATGATGAGGTTAAACTTTATTATCAAAACATTTTTGACAAATATCTTTATTATGTATTATTTAAAACGCTTAAAAACATACCTATTTTTCAATCTCTTTGAAATGATCCACATGGCAGCAGCTCCAAAATACTTAGCAAAGAATCCCTCAAATGTCCCAAATTTGCCTTCTCGCACTATGTAATCAAAGGATGCAAGGGCTTCAGTCGGCGTGCGGTAAACATTTGGGGAAATTAGGTGCACCAGCCTCTCATCTGCCCATTTCCGCCATTTAATCTCCTCTCTGGGCAAAAATTGTTAATCCAATAATTATGTTTGACTCTGTAAATTCAATAAAAAAATTATAATAAAGCAATCACTTTCAGAAATAACTGATTTGCTTTACTTTCTGGTGTCTTTTCCAGGATATAAACGATCAGCTTCTGTGTCTTGAACCATGACCCAGTACTTATTGCCAAACTCTATCACGTCTTTTCCACTGTCATTTTTTGCCTTCATCTCAGGATAACAAGTGAGAATCTCAGATATTGTTTTTTCCCTAAAAGAAGCAGTGAACAAACAATCAAAATGTGCATTTATATGTACATTTATTTGCCTAAAGTAAAGCAACTATTACAAAACTGAACAGTGCTCAAAAGATCACAATCAATCCCCCTCCAACTTCAGGAAAACATCAAATTGTCAATTTCCAATCAATACTGTGAACAAAACATTATGTTTATTGTCACTTTTCATTGTGCTTTCTAAAGAATAATCATGCTTTGGGGCATCCATAAAAAATTTAAAAAAAAGCTTGGTCACACTTTATTTTAAAGGTCCAATTCTCACTTTTAACAAACCTACGACTTTTGCCTCGATAAACTCCTTATTTGCCGCTTATTAGTTAGTATGGTAGTTGTTAAAATTAGGTATTGTGTAGGATTAGGTATGTAGATTATGGTCATGCAGAATATGTGCTTTACAAGCACTAATAAACAGCCAATATGTTAATAATAGGCATGCTAATATGCAACTAGTTAATAGTGAGAATTTGTCTCTATACTTAAGCGTTAACAAAAGCACTTCTAAATTACTATAATATACAAACATACCAAATGTTTATGCAACAAATAAAGTCACTAAAACCACTTAAATTTTAACATGACCATTCATATAAAAAGATCATCAAGTAGAAGATGCTCACCTGCTGACCAGGTATGTCTTCAAAACACTTATTATTACAGAAGAATCATTGAGTTGCTATTGAGATATAAACAAAGAGAGGGACTTGGTGAGCTGAAGCATCATATATCAGAAAGAGGATATCGATCATCATCAGAAAGATGCGAATAGCTACATACCAACGTCCCGTTCACCATCAGGATGGGAACTTTTCTGTAAGTGGACCACTTGATCTCCTGTCGCATGACGGGATTGACCTCCACAATTTCATATGGCAGACCATGACAATCCAGGAAGGCTCGCACCTTGCTGCAAAACGGACAGGTCTTATACTGATACAGAGTCAACTTCAGATCTGTGCCCAGCTCAGGTGCCTATTCAAAACAAGTTAATAAAACCATGGTGAGCAAACAACCCCAAAACTAAGGGCACATTTCAACACTCTCATCCAAAACTGTATGTATATATACATTTGGTTTTTCCTCTGCAAGGTGACGCTGAAGCGTGAGTTTGACGGTCTGGTACAAGCCGAAACCACCACCGAGCAAGAAGGCGCATCCCAGGACTCTCCCACTGCCACGCACCGGCGCAGCGAGCAACGTTCTGGCTCTAAATCCCGCTCCGCCGGTACCGTAAGCCCTTCCTTGGCATCTCATGGAGATTCTCGGCCCTAATGCTGCGGTGTTTGTTAGACGGCATGTCGTCGTGTCTAAAACTAACCGTGAGACCTTACTAAGCGTTCTCGCACAGGCCGCCGCCATCATGATTTTACATAAACACCCACAATTCTACGGCAAGCGCAATGAAACAAATGCTACAAGCTAATAGCCGTTTCTTGGAGAAGGTTTACTCCCTCCAGGGGGTGCGGGGGGCTCAAAAACCGAATCCCGCATTAAAATATTTTCTTTACAAAAGTATAATAGTATAATATGTTTTTATAATATATATAAAATGTATAAAGTGTTTTATATTATATAATAGCTTTTATATATTAAGTTATTTGAAATACAAATAAACAATATGCGTCAATAATCTCAGCCAAAGAACGTGATCCTAGCAGTGAGGAGGAAAATAACAGGTCACGTGTGCACGGCATTGAGAAACCTATTAAAATAAGGAGATAAAAGAAATAAAATATTTGAGTACCATCGAACTCGAGGCAACATCTGGGCATCTTATGCCTACTTACTTTAATTTCGCTGTGTAGTATCAATTGACCATAAAAATGTTCATCTGTTTTTGAACTTAACTGGTGAGTGACAAGACATACCCTATTCTAGAGTTATTTATTTGTTTGTTTGTTCAAAAATACCTGCATAGCAGACTAAATTATATGTTGTTGTTATTAGGGATAATATTTATAGAACAAAACAAGGACATGTTGGGCCAAGGAGGTCTCTATCTGTTAGCATTCCCATTCATCTTAAAAGCAGGTGCTTAAAACACTTGATTATTGGTTAGTTTCATTTACTTGTTAGCCAATATGCAAGTTTTGTGTCATTTAAAAATTATTTAAAAATTTAATTTTAATCCTTAAAGAAACTGAAAAAAGTAATGCCTTAAAACTCTCTAAATATGTAACGTATATTGTTTAACCCCCTTAAGTTTAAGTTAATTTATTAATTTTTAATACCTTTTATTAATTTATAATTAAATTTACTAGCAATTATCCTGTAACATGAAAACAGAGTTAAAATAGCCATTTCATGATTTTAAGAACACTGTTAGCCAGATTCGGACACCGAGAAAACATCTACAACAATATAATTACATATTAGCAATAAATACAATCAATACATGCTCTTTTAGGCTGGATGATGTAGTTACAGCATCTACCAGCAGGGACTAACTGGGCCAAGCTAACCAGCCAAACTTTGACCCTTTGGACTAAACCGTTTCACAGTGGGTCACCAGCAGGAGGCCTAGGAATAATTTTAACATTTCTTTTCACGCATTTTATCAACAAATTAGTATGATTTAGAAGAATAAATCACATTTTATAACTGTTTATTCTTTCTTTCTTTTTCTCAGTCACTATGTTTCCAGGAGGCCTAGGAATAATTTTAACATTTCTTTTCACGCATTTTACCAACAAATTAGTATGATTTAGAAGAATAAATCACATTTTATAACTGTTTATTCTTTCTTTCTTTTTCTCAGTCACTATGTTTCATACCTTGTGTGTGTGTGTGTGTGTGTGTGTGTGT